TCAAGTCGAAAGATGTCTCTCCAGCAAACCCTAAACCCTAAACCCTCGAGCTGGCTATGTAGGAGAGGAAAAAAACCCCTGAACCTTAATTAACCTAAGCCCGAAATCCTAAACCTTAATGGTCCTTTGTGCGAGGCCCAGGCTAAGCGACTCCTTCGGACGATGGCGACCTCAGACCCTTGTTGGCAGGCCTTGGGCTCGTCTTAAGACAGGGTTTTGGGTCTGAGGGTTTAGGGTTCAGGGTTCAGGGTTTAGGGTTTCGGGTTTTGAGCTTTAGGGGTTTAGGGTTCAGGGTTTGGGATGTGTTTCGGGTGTAAGGCTCAGGGTGCGGAGTCTAGTCTAATGGGCTTATGGTAGATATGCGATCTTGACCGTGGCTGCATGTCGTCTCGCGAGTTGTTCCATCAAGAGTGTGTAGGTGCAAAGCCAAAGTAGCAACTGCGTGTAGGTGCAAAACGTTGCCAGATGTGTGTGTGTGTTCAATGCACAAGAAATAGTAAAGACAAGTCATGGGATGGCAGCTGGAACGTTTTATCTTAAGCCAAGTTGTTTCGTCAGTAGGAGTATGTAGCAGAATGAAGCGATGCCAGGTGCGCGAAGCAACCCTGGACCTCTTCGGGGAGGTTGCCTCGGAGGTGGGTGGGAGCGTTGGTTGTTCCTTCGTTGAAGGGCGCGGCAAGCAGGCTTTGTTGTGGCTCTGGTGATGCAGGACCGACCCCAGATGTTAAAGTTAAAGGCGTTGAATCTCTACATTCACTAAACCCTAAACCCTAAATCCCTAAACCCTATAGGACTACTTCCATACTTCCCCCAGCTCTTGGGTTGAGCCTGTGCACTCGGAGCCCTTCATCCCAAGAGGCAACATCGACCCCAACCCCTTTTGTGCACTTCCGCCAGGTGAACGTCGACTTCATTCCGGCGGCACTGGAAGCCATGGGCGATGCGATGTGGCAGGCAGGGGCGCGCCGTTCACCATCGCAGTTTTCAGGTCCTTTCTCCGTCCTTCATCATGAGACCAAGCCATGGCCACGCGAGACACAACCAGCATCTCTGAAACCTCCCAGATAACTCAAGGCCAAACCCTGACAGCTCAACACACCCTAAGGCTGCAGCTGCTTCAGTCGGGAAATCTCATCCCACCTTGGGCCCGAACACTTGCATGTGGCAGAGCCCTTCCCTTGAACATACACACCGAGATGCAAGAGTTGTTTCACCGCCCTACACCCTAAAACCCGAAAGCCCAAACCCACCGCACCGGGTGCAGGTAAGGCGCGCGGCACTGCGCGCATGCTCGGCCCTCTGTGCAGCTCGGATGCGCTTCGATCGGGTCGCTCGGAAGTAGCATTGACACAGATGGAGCGGAAATCGGACTTCGGCCCCCTTACTGCAGCTGATACTTCGACGGGTTATGATTTCAGCACTTGTGTTTGGTCTGGGGCCTGGGGGCACTTCTTAAACCTATAATGATCAGACCCGACAGGCCTGTGGTGAGGCAGTCCTCACGCCGGAGGACATTGCCGAAGCTGTGGAGGTCTTACTTTTCTTTGGGGTGACCGTTTCTTTTATTCTACTCCTAAGCAGAAGGGGTTGAGTTTGCGGTGTGTTTTACGGTTTGTAGGTTATTGTTTTTGGGGCGCCCTTTTCTGTTTAGGGTTTAAGGTCGTGGGGTTTTAGTATTGTTTAGGGTCTTGGCGTGGAGGGAGTGGCACTTTCGGCATTAAGGGCTTAAGCGGTTTTTGGTTCAAATGCTGCCGCTGTCCCGAGAGAAAGGCAGTGACTCACAGGCCATGGGTTCCAGACTACAGGCTTTCAGAACCAGGGCCATCGGCACTTTGGGACAAAGCGCTTGCTGAATTGTGAAATGAACTTTCACGCCTCCACAGCTTACTGTTCCATTTAATCCGCAACCCTTCAGCAGACTTCTCTGCTTCTATCTTCGAGTTCCAGCGACTTGACACCCCCAATCACAGGCTCGAAGTTAGAATGCAGTTTTGATGCAGAACACCAGGAAGCTGATGGAATTGCGCCTCACCCTACAGCCGAAATCGTAAACCCTGAAGCAATCTGAAGCCTTAAGGTTACAAACCTTAAGGCTGCCTCACCGCGGCTCCTCCAAGTCTTACTGTTGATGATATAAATCCTGCATGACCATGGGAATTATGGTGCATTCCTTGTTATGGGTAATGCAGGATTTATATCATCAACCGCATCAAGCTCCTTCCAGGCTGCTGAGGGCCTCGTGCCGGATTGGAACAGCTGCCTGGGCCGCACTTGATAGTGGAAGAAGTAAAATGCCAGATCCTGTGTGGAGCCCTCCTCACATCCCATGTAGCATTACTATTGGAATCCATTGATGGCTTTGCTGCTTAGGGTGATGTTTGCTGATTAGTATGGCACAGAATACGGCCTTCCACCCAGGCTTCGTGTCTCTCGAAGCTCTGGGAACGCTGGAGCGCTTCTCAGAGTTGGGCTACCGCCCCACGTCTGGCTTTGAACAGGCCTTTGCCCGCGCTCTGCATCACCGGGATAAGGCTGGGCATGTTATTGCTTTTGAATTCAACTTACACTCAGTTGCCAGTAGACCCATTGAAACGAGAACCAGTCTGACGTTCGAGAACAGTCAGCAAGGAGGTGCGGGAAAAAGCTGGGGCCACCCTCTACCGCAGTGCGAACACCTCCGGGCACGAGGAGGCAGCTGCCCAGGCGATCGCCGAACTCTTGGCCTATGTCGACCTGGATGTGAAGCTTGGGCTGGCATAAACTAAGATCAGTCGATGATGATAAACTGCACAGACATGCTGTGCCTGTCACAGCATCCTGAAGCCAAGGAAGGACGAGGCATGCCTACTGCTCAAGCGGCTGGGGCCCACGAGCATCTCTGTTGGTGCCGTGAGCAGCCGGATCTCGCAAGGCTACGACGAGCCCACGCGCTGCGCGGCCCTGACCGCACTGGCCGAGTTTGCAAAGGCAGGGGAGGAGCACCCACCTGGAACGGCCGTGGAGGGCGACGAGCGTGAGAAGGAGAAGGAGAGCACCAATGAGATACGAAAGGTGCAAGAACGGAGCCAGTGGGCTATGAAAGCCGCCCAGGCTACGGCCCGTCTTGGGCTTCAGGACCCAGCGGCTGTGGTGAGACAGGAAGCCATCGGAGTCATGGGAGGTTTCGGACCAGAAGCATGGCAACAAGCGCTTCAGACGGTGCAGGGCATGTTGGAGAGCCTTGGCGGCAAACTTGTTCCTTTTTTTATTTCTCCAATAATTGGTCTCTCCTGAGGTGCTCATGACAAAAAGCTACGACACACCACCCTGACCATGGGTTTCTTGACCGTCTGAGTTGCAATGTTGGTGTCATGACTACTCTCAATTTTTGGTGCTATTCGTCTTGTTTGCGGATGCTTGTTGTCACGACAATGAGAAGGGCAAAGAAGATGAGACGGTGTGGTGTTGTTGGTGATAATGATGACGATGACGATGGCGCTGTGCTCATGCTGCGGATGATGATGATTGTGATGACTAGGAGGAGCAGGAAGACTAGGAGGAGGACTTGAAATGTGCTGTAGTTGTGGTGGCGGTGGTGGTCGCTGATCTGCTAATTCAGGCAGTACATAGGCATCTCGGCCCTGAAACCCTAGACCCTATACAACCTTGACAGAACCCATAAAACGAACCCTTACACCAGGCACCGCTCCTCCTTGGAGCCTTCCTGCCGGTGCTCCGTGCTCCAGGCGGTAGCGAACCTATTCGCGACGTCGGATGCCATCCAGAGCCCGCAGGTCCTTACTAGTACTATTTCTACTAGTGATGTTACTGTTACGGTTACTATTGCTATTACCATTGTCATTATTACTGTTATTATTAGTATTATCACTATCACGTTTACTATTACTAGTACTAGCACTTGTACTATTACCATTGCTGTTGCTATTGCTATTGCTATTATCAAAAGAAACATAAAGCAACTATTCCTATTACTATTACTATTAATGCTGTTGTCAATGTTATTCGTCTTGTGATGATGATGATGATGCTTATGATTACTGTTCTTTTTCTTCTTATGATGACGATGATGATTACTGTATCGACAGCGCCATATACAGGGCTCTATGAGAATGTGAGCGGGCCTGATGAACTGGGCAGAACAGGACATGCTGTTGGGGGGGGTATATCCGTGGTACGGTATACTTCTTTTCATCATTTAGTTTCAGAATTCGTTCATACTCCCCTGTAGCGACCCGAGTCTGTGCAGGATGTCGTTGTGCCATTCAGGCTTCAACGATCCGTGTTGCTGTCAGATCTGCAGCTGTCCTTCCGTAAAAGGTCCGTTTAAGGGTTCCATAAGACTTTATACGGGTGCTACAAGGTGTTTTATAAGAGTTCATGGAGTGTTCTATAATATAAGGGTAATCCTACTTCGGAGGGACAAAAGCTCCCGTGACCTTCAAATGTTTGTAGTTACAGCGGCTCCATGACCAACTCCAGTAGAGAAACACCCTCAGATCGCTGCTCGCCGGCAGGGTGGTCCAGCCGAAACTCTGGGAAAAGACGACCTATCTGCCATTCTCGAGCTCATAGCATCCTGTTTCGAAGATCCCGATGCAGATGTCCGGGACGTGGCGACCTCCGTGCTTCGGCAGAGATCGGGGGCAGTTGTGAAGTTTGGCGTTCAAGGTTCAGGGTTCTATGCGTAATGTAGGGGCCTTAACGACTAGAATAGGGTTTTGGGGGTTCCTAATATACCCAGTCTTATTATTAAGACCCCTACATTAAATACAAGGATAGGCCAGCAAAGTTGGAAAAGGACTTGGTGCCCCTGTCCATGTTTTTCTCGGAGAATCTCGGCACAGGTCCTGTGCGGGCTGGCTATGGGCGGCAAGGGCGGTGACTTGGGATTCATGTAGTCCTACAACTTGTGTTCAGGCTCAGCTGCTGTCACAGCCTGAAGCATCGAAATCTTGTGCCCTCACCTGCGAAGCTGCCCAATCCTGACTTAGGATCCAGAGGCAAAGTATCTATAGAGTCTCTGCATATGTGTGTGTGTGTTTCTCTGGTTGTGCGACGGGCGATGTGCTGTTCTGGAGATACTGTCCTATACGATACCCCAAGACAAGACCTTATCCTTATCATTCAGGACTCCTACCGGCAGCGTCCTGCGACGTTGAGCTGAGTATGTAGCCATGAGGATTTTTCCCCTTCGGCTTCAGGGCTTCGTCTCTGATGGGCTGGGCAAGTTTGGAAAGGTCCCCTTACAACAACCTCTAGAGCCTTTGCAGTTTCTGCTGTGTGAACAGCCAGTATCGTTTTGGTGCAACGATGCGCCCGGCACCCCATTTTGCTTGGGTACCAGTGCTCTCCTGTGAGGGGTTGATTGCTGCAGAGGTGGCCGCAATCGCAGCGTGCAGGTCGGGAGTCGGTCCTTCAAGCTTTGAGCCTGAGGGAAGTACTTGGAGGCTTAGGTTCTCTAAGGAGGGCTCCTTATATATGTAGACCTATGTATACATATACATACGCACACGCAGATTTATACATACATAGATATATATATATATAAACAAATAAA